AAAAGACAAACTATCACTGTAGAGTTCAGTATCCAATTGCGTTATCATTTTCTGTGAACAATTTTCTATTTTTCGGTAATGTGTATCTACAGTATGTGCTTCCCTGGGACAAAGAGCTTCCAGGTCACTCCTCAACTGTAAAAATCCTGATTATCAAGTAATTACCGAACGTTATCTGTAGAAATTATTTGACTACTTGGAGATTTTTCCTAATGGTGCTCATTTGACACCCCGGTTGTGTTTTGTGCCCTCAAAGAGCAACGGGTTCCATTTTTCACATCACATGGGGGCGTTTTAGCTGTATTTTGGGGGCAGGCATCCTCTGGACTCTGTCCTGAGAGGGTTTTGGGGATGGGAGGAAGAAGCCATTCGAGAGAATGGGATTGTTTCTAATTCGGTAGCTGTATTGTACTGTTAATTAGCTTTACCAAAACAAATTCAAGAAAAAAAAATAGATATACCCAGTTGTCGTGTTTTGTCTGTCATATCACTATGGAAAAGTTATCATCACGGGAGCCCTCAGGACTACACGGAGTCTGCTGTTAGTGTGATCACATGTGTTTAGAAGCAAATACACAGAATAAATAATGCAGACAAAACAATATGAATGAGGATTACTTCATTACAATAAGACTGATGAAAGAATGTTAGGAAAAGGAAAAGGCATACCAAAAGTTTGAAGATAAAAGAGGTAACTACACCTGTCATCGGACAGAGTGGGAAAGTGCATGGTGTATTCAGCACATGAGAAGAATGCTGTTTTCTAACATTTGAAGAGGTGAAAACTAACTGGACAGCAGTTTTCTAAAGTAACATAAATTGTAGCTTTAAGAGCATTTTACTTCAATTCTTTCTTTGTATGGCGGATATACAGTACAGAAAACATTATTATCATCATGATAATCTAATAAAAAATATCTGATACCTTTAATAGCAGCGAGCTGACAGCTTTTAATATCGAGAACACGTGTGCACTTGGGTATAGACACAAGGATGCCTGGAAGGGGCCCTTCAGCAATAAGGCACCATGTTTCCCTTGGGCACCAGTGACCAGGATGGGGTCTGGTGCCAAAGGCCTCTGTCCTCACATACTTCACAATAAACTTGCAAGAAAAGGCTGAGTTCCCAAAGGTCACACCTGGTGTCATAATGTCCCCAATAATATGCTATTAAAATTCTTTTAACTGCGGAGAGTTACTAATCTAATAAGAGCCTTTAAAGTGCATCTTTCTGAATGGTTTAACTTTGCTATATCTTATTATAGTGTACTTGAAACACTGAAGTGAAGTGGAGTGTTAATATGATCAAGCATTATAATAACAGAAATTAAGATGGATCAGCAGATAGTCAAGTGCCATAGTATTCTGCTTAGCAATCATTAAATAGGTCTTAATCATTGGTATTGCAAAGAACTGGTTCTGTAGGCTTTTATTTTGTCTCCTACATACTGTATTTCAAATAACACCAACATATTACTTTTTATTTGATTAATAGTTATCAATTATCTTTGCCTGCTGAAGCGATTAAACTTTTACTATGAATTTCACACTTCATTGGCTGTTTTTGTGGATCCACATACACATATATATACATGACGCATATTTACAAATTAGGAAGATGTATTTTCATGGATTTTTCTTGAAGTTCCTTGATGGCTTCCTTTCATGTCCTCCAAAACTAATAAATATTAGATATTTTCTTCCGAATCATCTGGGATAGACTATTTTCTATATAAATTAGTTTGAATATAAACATGAGACCTAGTAACTAAGATCGGAGGTTCTGATAGAATATAAAAAAGACTTCCTTATCTATGATAGAATAGAATTATTTAAAGTTCATTAGAATACTCTGAAATGTACTTACATTTTCTTTTAAGAAAAACACAGAAAAACAAACAGTGCCAGTAGTCAGCTGTGACCCATTACTGACTGTCTAACATCATATTTGTCCCAATATCCCTTTTAGTAAAACTACAATATATTACTTTAATCCTAATGACATTGCTACCAGAAATGAGAAAACTTTAACATGAATAAAACACACACCATAAGAGGAGCATTTTTTAAAATAATTATTTCAGGGAAGTGAGAGACTTTGATTTTGTGTTATTGTTCAATTACACGTACAGATTGCCATTAGAAATAAATTACTATTAAGCTATAATTTGTGGTAAAATCAGCAGAGGTGGCTGTGCTGTGGACAATTCACAAGTCCACATCTCCCACCTAGACCACCAGTGATGTACTAGCAGGACTTCCACCGCACCCCCTTAATGGGCCAAAACTTTCACAACATGCAACAACCAAAGTCCAATGTGGCACCAATTATTATATTAACGTCAAATCTGGGGAGGCTTGTTTCCGCCCATTCACACCTTAGATTTTAGGCAGCCTAGGGGCTTCATACTTGTAACAGAAAAACTGGCCTCAGTTTCAGCAGAGTGCTTTTCAGGCATGGAAAGATGATGTACAGTATGTCCGGAAACGGCAAATGATAAACGAATAGGATAGAGGTGAACTCACCTTCACAGAAATGTTTACCAGATGGATGTTTCCTTCCATCCAAGCTTGTTAAAGCTTAACTTCACGTACAACTTCTACTTAGAGTCTAGCAAAGTACAATATTTCTTTTACACAGTCAGCTATGGCTTACTCACTACTTCCCTTTAAAACATAATCCGCTTTCATTTGTTTGAGGCTAGCAAGTGTCTTGTAAAATCGATACAAATACCAGATAAGATTATCCTTTTTTATTGCTTTGACATCTCAGTAATGTTTTAAGTAAAAGTTAGGTGGAATTATATTTGATAGAATGTGATGTACTCCTAACAGTCAAGTAACTCCATCTTAAAATTACACCCTGCTAAATTAACAAATGTATTAACAGATCATACAATCCTTTAAACCTACTTATTGTTATTGCTAAAAACAATACTGGTGGCAGAGGAGAACCTAAAACACAAGAGTGCAAATGGTCTTGTTTGTCATCTCACAAGTCAGTGACAAGATTACTCCCAGGTACCATCTTGAATATTTGACACCATGTTCCTCATATACTGCAACCTGCTCAGTTCTGCTCCTAATTTGCTCATGGTAACCAGAGTGTAAGAATTGAACTGTTAGGTGCTGCTTCACAAGTAGCCCACTCTCACTACTGAAGTCTTCTTCTTTTAGAAAAAAGAATTTTCAATTTTTCAATTACCAGAAGCACTGTGTACTCAGCTATGTGTTCACCCTGTTATTTAGAACTGAATATGTTTTTATTGCGTTCTCTCTCTCACTATTTCTCTGCCCTGTTATATTTCATGTTGCAGTGAGTCAGAGATGATGCTCAAATTGTTTTATGAAATCCAAAAATGATTGATAATGATGATTGACTGATAGCATTAACATACTAAACAATGACAAATTCCAAAACAATTGTGATTTCAGTGCTGAGTCCGCAATAGTTACAGATGTTAATTGGTAAAAAGTTGTGCAAAGTTGTTTTAAACAAATGTAGTCCTAATATTTCTTTCACTTCTGTAGTATTGTTTTTTTTTCCTTAAGACTACTTGTTTATTTAATTGATTCCTGCCAAAATCATGTTTCATGTATGAAACAGATTCAGACAATGATCAACTAGTAATTTAAATAGAGGAACTTTGATTTTATTTTGTATTTAGTCTTTAAAATACGAGTTTTGCTTTATTTAAAAGAAAAAAAATGTTTAAAGCTTTATGACAATTCCCAAGATTAAACTTGAATAACTGCAAAGCTATGCCAGCAATTGTCTTTGAAGTCTAAACCTATAACTTGTGGTATTTACTAAGACAAGCCCCATAGTAATAATGTTGGACCAAGAAGCTGTTTCATCAGCGTTTTAACAGACAGTGAAAGGTAACGGCTTTGAAATTAGGTGCTTAACCAAGTTTTTGTTTGTTTTATTCTGAAATTAACTGTTTACAGCACTAACGTACAGGGACTGATTTAACATACCTTTCAAAACATAATCTGAATTTATGAAATCACTACAGACAAGGCAAATACGAATGAATTAGGTTTAGGATCAGTTTAACCAATGAACGGGAATTGCTTTGAAAGAGCATGCAGTATTTGCCTCTACATTGAATATATCATTAAAAAGAAATAAAGTAAAAAGTTTAAATGTCTTATTTGTACAATGTACTATGGCACAGCTTTCATACTTCTGATTCATTACATCTTTATCCCCTGGATATCAATTCATAACTAGGACACAAGTCTCTAAAGTTAGAGCTAGTGATTGTAAATGGGATCAGAGAATTATTAATCGTCCCCACAGCTAGAGCTTGCATTTCTAATCCTGAGCCAGTAAAAGGGGAATCAGACCTGATTATTTATTATGTGGTAATCAGCAGAATATTTGAAATGTGAAAATGGATTTAACAGTGTATAAATACCACAGTCTGAGCACAGTACTTTCTTATGCAGACATAACACCTGGGAAGATTTTTATAACTTAAAATGGGATTTTTTAATAACACAATTTACAGAAATATCATTATTCCTTATTAAGGTGACATGTTGAAAGCAAAGCTATTTTCACAGATGGCTTGATGTATTAGAACAGAATATAAATTTTCCAAATAATACCTATTGTAAATCTAAACGATACTGTTTTTTATAAGGAGAATTCCACCAATGGAAATGGACACTGAGTTTGATTTTAATCATTTGTTATAAAACAAACATTTTCATGCATGTTTTAGTTTTTTTTAGTTTCAGGATATGCAGACATTCATTGTTCATGTCATATCTTTAGCTTGCAGGCTAATTACCATTTACTTCACCCAGATGAATGGAATGTTTGAATTCCAATCATCTCCTGCATTGTCTTATCTTAAAGATATACTTTAACCTGCCATGAATCCTAGGACTTGTAAAGGAAACAGCTACAGAATGACATACTTCTTTATCTCCTCCTAAATGAAATAATGAACTATTTATGGCAGGGAAATCAGCACTCAGTTTTCTTACCTTGGCATGATACCCCCTTGCACGGTCTGGTCTCCTGCAGAAATCTTGAAGTCTCTTAAAGAGCTGTTCAGGTGTGGAGTACAGATATTCAGCTGCAGGAAAAACAGATACATTTTTAATGAAACAAAAACCTCAAAGCAGAACCTAGATATTAGTCACTTTAGTAATTAAAAATGTATATTGCTCTGTGCCGTCTCATGCTGTACATTATTAAAGCATGATTTTTCGAAGTTACCTCAGCTCAAAAGGATTTTTAATGCAAAATAGTTCTTCACAGTTGCAGTACGTACTCTAGTCATTTCCTTTGGGTAAATTAACAGTCTTGTACCAAATGAAACACAAAACTCTTATATATGCATAAATACATTGATCAGAACAGTAGTCTGAAAATAACAACAATGAAAAAACATAGAAATATATATATGCATGCTCATTGCAGTGATTATTTAAGCAGTTGTCATACAGCTATTTATTTGTAGATAGATTTTAAACTTAGACAAAAGACTAAAGCATTCAAAATATGTGCATGCATCTCTTCCCAACTCTTTTTTAGCAGTCTTTTTATTTGCTTTGAACAATCTGATAACATGAGTTATTTCACCGACACTATGTTCAAAAGTAAACTCAGTGGTCTAAGACAATTCAATATTATGATACTCACCAGAAAATATTTCAGGATACACCAAAGCATTCGGACAGAGAGGATAGCACCCACAATATACAGCTTCTATCCTGCAATACAAGAATAGCTAACATCTACAAAATCTTATTTTTAAAACAGCACTGTACAGTACCAGATATACTGCAGTATGTGTTTCTACAAAAACAATAAAACATTAGTTGGAAACTAACTTTTTGCCATTAATTTTTACATCAATGTAGAGAATACAGAGAAAAAAAAACAATTTTTGTAATATTTTCTGACATGCATATTCTCATTCTATTTTCTCTGCCATTTTGGAGCAAAGCAATTTTGACTGTACTGTGTTCAATAAAGCACTCAGCGTTTACAGTCAGGGAAGTGATTTAAAGGCAAAAATCTGTTCTCTATTAACAGCTGTTTTAAAGAAAAATACGTATTTCTTACTCCCGTTATGAAGATTAAAATGGAAGAAATCTTCCTCTAGAAAATGAATGTAAATATTACTAGAATTCCCAGCGTGACCTAAAGAATCTAATTTTCTCCAAAACCTTTTCAAATGTTAATATTTGCTTTTCACAATGTTCAGTTCCTGAACTCCACACAAGTAGTCCTCTTCAAAAGTCTCATGTAAAATACTCAACTGTTAGGAATTTATGATACATCACTTACTTCTAAATGAAAAAAAAATCCAATATCAAAATATATTTAGCATATTGGTGATATTTATAAATGTATTATAAAATTAATTTGGTTGGTTCCACCTCTTTAAAACTATGGTTTGTGCTGTTCAAAGACATCTGTGGAAAGCGTTCTGTACTACAAGTATTTTATTATACAGGATCTTCCATTTCAATCTACAATATCAAATTATTCATGCGACTCGATGTATTATTAAGCACCAAGTTATCTTCAGTCCAGGGGTTTTACCCCAGGTTAGATGCCAAGTATGAAGCTTTTTAACTTCTTACAAATATTCCATTACCACAATAAAATGAGACACTTCATGAAATCAAACTAAGTATGTTTTTATTTATCCGTCACGCTGTCATCTTGTACAGTTATTATGAAAATATAAGTTGTCATTACATTGCATGGAGACAGGGTAACCTGTATGGGTTTACTGAGGTACTGCACAGCAGCTGCCAACATATGTATACTGTTAGCTCTCTATTCTCATGCAATCGGTTTTCGGACAATGCAAATATGTGTGATATGCAATGAGTGAGCTATCTTGACAAACTGGCTTAAAGTGACAGTTTCTAATGCAGTACAGTAAGCACAATGTGGTTTGCCTTTCAGTTTCTTTTTAGCTACAATATGCCCCTTCACTGCTGCTTACACGTATGTGTGATACCTAGTTAAGACATTCATAAACTTAAGCATTGTCAAGTTTTAGTTTAGTTTAAAATAATTTAGTTTCATACACACAACAACCAGCATTAACCAGTAAAGTAAACAACAAAGAAAACGCTTACATCTTCTGTTTTTAATTCTAAGTAACATGACAACAAAGAACCTTTGATGTCAGTTTTATATCACTATGCTGTATTTATGAAATTACAGATGATTAAGAATCTGAAATTACTCTTATTACATTAACAGTAGTTAAGACATTTTCTGTGCAGACATTTGTTTTCAAATGTTACAATGCAAAATATTTTTTTTAGATTGAACACATTTTCAATCCTAATCTTTGAATTACAATCTAAACTGTTTCCAGTAGTTTTTTGTCCATTGGTAAATATTCATCGCGGTATCTAAACTTTTACAATACTTTGTGTGTTTCACAATTCATTTTTGTGTTATACATGTGCACTCGGTTAAAATAAAATAAAATGGCTAAAAACTGCTGTTTTTGTTGATTTTTTTTTTCTTATAACCAAAAATATAGCTGACATAATCAGTTAAATTCTAAATAGGGTTTTAATTAATATGATGTCAAATTGGCAAGACAATAACCTCTCTATACCAATAAATATATTGGCTATGAAATCTATGAAACTTAGTATTAAAGAGTACTGTATTCACTTCAAGTTCTGTAATTTGTGTGTAAATAGTTATTGGGCTTTTGATTCAAAATATAATTAGCTGTTAAATTTGTTTGGCTGAATTACTTTTTCTGCAGGGCCTAGAAGGGCTTCCACTCACATTATTCAGCAATAATGAATCAGATAGGTTAAATTTTACAGTAATGAGGATGAGACACAACTGTGACACCCAAGTCTAGTAATATGAGTGGACTGCTAATTATCGACAGCACCTTTTTGTGTGAGATGTACAGAGAGAGGAAAAAATGTCTCATTATTAAAAAAAAGAAAGTTACAATTATAAGTGATACCAAAGGACAGTAAATAAAATGGAGTGATTAAAATACTGCTGCTTTAAGGGTGTTTTTAATTAAGTGGGTATGCTAATGTTGTCATACTTAGCAGATGGGATTAAAATTACTTATTGTAACACATGTGTTATGTTATTATTAACATGACATGTTAAAGACTTCTATGAAATGATACATTTCATCAGATGCAAATATACTCGATTTTGCAGTTCTGGACAAAACATATCTTTGCCTTTTTTTCTTTTCCAGGACAGAATAGAGATGATAAAGAAGTTTAGGGGGCTGAAATCAGACCTGCTAAGCTCCTCGCCACAATGTTTTGCACTGCTTGAAATGTGCCAAAGGCATGCTGGTGACATCAGAGCACAGCCAGAGTGTTTTAACTTACTTTAATATTCCTTTTTCAACCTCCCTTTCCAGCGCACCACAACCGAATCCTCCTCTGTGCAGGCGCGGCTCTACAAAGTGGGTGGTCATTCAAGCAACTTTTTAAGCTAATAGTGGTTAAATAAGAGAGCAATATGCTACTGCCAGAGTTATAAGGCTACTACAGTATGTTCTGAGTCTGAGCAAGGGAATGATATTACTTTATTCCCAGATTAAGCTCAGTTTCCTTCTTCTTATTGAAAGACAGAAGTGATTCAATCAGGCAGTTTGAACCAGTTTTTGTAGGAAATTACTGCCTGTGGCAAATGCAAATAGGTGAAAAGGCAGACTGCATGGTGTTAGCTTGCATTCTGAGATTCTCCCTGCAGTCCCTCAGAGAGTGGATATTTTTTTCAAGACTGCAAATGCAACTGAAAAAAGGAAGTAAAGCACAGAAGTATTATATTGTATTAAATAAAGACAGGTAATTCAGGTGTGTGGTCTTTGCCATACTAACCCATTAACAATGTTTATGTGTTTTTAGAAATACAGGTCTCCAAAAATAATTTTCCAAATCAGCTGGATATTTTTGTATCATGTTTGTGAAATGGCACAGTGCCACAACCAATACAATATATCACTTCAACAAGGAAAACAGGCATGAGAAAGGTGTCCAGGAAAAACAACCTCACAGACATTCCTAAGAAGATGTCCACATCTTCAAGGAGACTCATAAATCATCCCATGCTTTCCCAACCAGTTTTAAGAGGTATTTCTTTTACACTGAAAAATATTTCAACCATCTTACTAAATCTAAGGCTTTCTTTTAAAAAAGAAAACATCAATTAAAGCCTTTATAAATCTATCCAGTAGTAGCACTTGTACATTTTTTGCTGAAACAGTTATAAAACTGAAAAGTTAACCAAATATGACCTTAAGGTTTAATGTTCCTTTAAGCTATCATTTAAACTTATACCTGCCATCTTTACAGCTCAGTACATGACTGGTATATGAATTGTTTAATGAGTTCCAGCTATATAGTTGATGGTACCACTAAATTAACTGAATGTCATTCAACCGTTGCCTTTTCTATTTCAGTAAAAAGCAAATTACATTAAAGCACTGTAATTATAAGACAGGGCTTCTTCATAACTTTTATGCTGGAATAATACCATATGTTTTGATTTAATTTTAGAATTAATTTTTTAAAACAAATTATTTCTTTCAAGAAGGGGGTATTTAATAAATGTATTATATATATTCTTAACAGTGTGAATATTTACTCTGCTGTCCCTTCAGAAAACACACACATTTTTATATAAGGATTGGATTTATACAAATTACAAATTCAAAAAATTACAAAAATACAAATTACATGAAAATTTCAGTGACCAAATAACAGATTTTCTACTTGCTAGAACAGTACTTTAAATGTAAAGGACACAAAACCTGTATGCAAAAACCCAGATATTGTTATATCACAGTATTATGAAAGTGTATCAGAAGTAAGTGCAAAGGAAGAATGCAATATATTTATATAAAGACTATCAGGTTATAGTCTTAATATGGTTAGTAGCACATGTTAAAGTAGAGGCAAAATTAAACTTTATAGAGTTTTCCTTCTGTTTGAGGGAAAGCACACTGTTGGATGGA